TTTCTAGATAAACCCCATGGGGAGGCAGCAGTCCGTTCGACATGGATGGGTCTGTTGGCTTAGCAATCATACTAGTTCATGCGGTTTCTCCTGTCTCCCCAGGGCGTGAATCCTCAGCTCCGGATTAACGGGCCGATGAACATCAACCACTATGCGACGAAGAAGAGCGTGGCAGAGAGCATGCTGGACGTGGCGCTGTTCATGGCGAACGTCACGCAGCTCAAAGCGGTGCTGGAGCAGGGGCCTTCCTTCCAGTACTACGCCACCCTCATCGTGCTCATCAGCATCTCCCTCTTCTTCCAGGTGATGATTGGGATTCTCCTCATCATCACCGGTAAGGCGGACGCCAAGGCACGTGCACCCTCGCAGGGTGCTGCTGCGGTAGGGCACCCCATGGCTTGGCTGGCATGGGGGTGGGAGGGAGAAACTTCTTCCCCTGAACCGTTTCCCCTGGCTCCAAACAGGGCTGCAGGAGGGTTGAAGGCAGCTTGACGCAGGTGGTGGGGAGGTCTGTGTTACTGCTTTTCAAAGTGGGGAGTGGGTTGTTTTTTTCTTTTGCACAACAGCTCTGAGCACTACTCTTCCTTCACTTCCCCACTGCCGAATCCCTGCTGTAGGGAGAGGAGCTGGGTTTCAGGCCTCTTGCTGCCCACCCTGTAACGTGCCCCTTCATGCAGCTCCTGCAGATACCACTTTTTAGCTGTGTCTATCCCCTCACTCAAGCTGGGGCCTAACAGAACAATTAACCTCGCATTTAACCAATCCCACAGTTCTCCTAGTGCCATACAGACAGTATGTTAACACCAGCATTTCAGACAGGCTTGCCCAGTGCTCCATCTGATACAGGAGTTGCTGTATTTCAGCCTCCAACACATGCCCGGTATTAAAAGTCTGCAGAACGCTGTCTTTTCCTGTATATCCTAAGTGGTTTTTTAATGTGGGACATGGGATCACCGGCTACGGAAAAGCCTGTGATGTGTTCCTCCCCCTGCCCCACATGGCACAGCCTTTCCCAGTGGCAGCCACGGTGGCTGGAGCCAGCTCTGAGGAGAAGGGGGACAGGGGAGCACAACTGAGGGCGGGGAGCCACAAGGCTGCTGTTTGCATGGCTTATTGGCCAGACAGCCCCAATAACCGGGGCGTTCCCGTGTCTGAACTGGTCAATGCCCATCAGCTAGGTCTGATCCCATTCGTGTACCCAGATACTTCTTGGTCTGGGGGAGAGGAGGGAGTTGATAGCTGTGTCAGCACATACGTGAGATCTGGGCGTCAAGGAGGAACTGGCCTCCCAACCCAAGCACAACGTTGCTGACCTTGTCCCCCATGTCACCCAGCCTTCCTTTGCCTTGTCTCATGGCCATGCAGTGGGGGGGTCACATGGCACATGCCTGGCTAGCATGCAGCAGTAATTTGGCTATTTAGGCTTGGCCCGTTGGAGGGCCATGGCACCTCCATGGCAAAACAAAGATATGACATAAAAAAAAAGATGTTTTTCTTCTGCTCCGTCCTCCTATGTCATCCTAGGGCTGTAGGCCCCTGTAAAGTTCCTGGGACTATTCCCCCAGCTTTGTGGCCACAGTGCCCAGGGGCACCATGGACATTTGCCAGGCAGGGAAGGCTTGCAGGGGCTAGGGGACTTGGAGTCAAGCTACAGATCTCCCTTATTTTTGCATTGTATCGCACAGCTCGTTTGAACCTGAACGATGTTGCAAAGCAACCCCGCCTGAATATACTCAACAATGCTGCCACAGCTCTCATCTTCATCACAGTCATCCTCAACATCTTCATCACAGCCTTTGGGGTGCAGAAGACTGGCCTCTACCCTACCAGGAATTTTCGACCTTATTAAGTCATGGGGCAATAGATTCAGGTAAGAAAGGGGTGAGTTCCCATCACTGCCAGCCCCTGGAAGGGCTCTCAGTCTCAGAAAACATCATTGCAAGGTGGAGAAGGAGAAGGCAAAGCTGCGCAAATTAACAAAGCCTTTCCAGAGGCATGTTGTTGTCATCTGGGGCCACTGAACAAATTCCCTCAGAGGAGGAGGAGGGTTTCTCCTTGCTTGGTCTTTAAAGCAAGAAGACCAAACATCCCAACTGCTGGGGTTTATCAGCAGCAAGCGGCTGACCTCACACTAGAAATGGATAGCAGTTGTGGATGGGAGCTAAATTTGGGAAAGAAAACTAGGTGTGTTCTGGTAGGTATCCAAAGATGGCAGCATTAATCTGAGCAGAAGAAAAGGAAGGTGCTGGCGAGGCAGGGGTGAAAGAGCTCTTCACAACAGCCAGTGTGGTTTGGCAGGGGCTGTTTTAAGAATCTGACTCTCATTTTCAAGAGAGAGTCTTGTGAATAAGAGTGCAACCAAATGCTTGGGTTCCCATGACAGGTCAATGAGGGAATGACATGTTCTCAGGTCAAAAGTGCTTTAGGTCAAGAAGTGAAGTTCACATCTCTTGCTTACATGACCTGCAACATGTAAACATAGTTTAAATGTAATATACTTGGGCAACAGCCAGCAAGAAAGCTTGATAGACGCATGATATGATGAGGGAAGGCCAAAAGCCTCTATAAAAACACTGCTGGCTTGGGATCCAGAAGGGTGCGAGCGCTGAAGAGCAGCACCTCACACCCGTAGGGGTGGCTGTGGCGCCGAGTGACCCGGTACGCCATGACTGCTCCTCTCTGCCTGCGCAGCGCGGAGGAGCCTGCTGCGACCGTACTGGTGTTTCTGGTCTTCCCTGCAGGATCTGAGCAGCGCGGCCGGTGGGGAAAGCTCTACTCCTCTGCGTTTTCACTGACCTCAGCAGGAGCCCTTCGACGAATCCAGAGAATTGGGTTTAACTTTCAAAACTGTGTGCGCGTGTCATGGTATGCCGGCCCCTGACCGTAATGCTTTTGCAGTTCTGAAGGGGTGAAAACATTGCCTTTCAACGCTAGAGCAAACTTTGCTAGAGAAAGCTGCAGGAACAGCAGCAGGTACACAATTTCAAAGCGCAGTTCTGTACATCTCATCTCTTATTTTAGTTGCCTGCTTCACATATTCAGTATTGGCTCATTTTGTAGAGAAGACAGAACGATTTTCTTTGTAGGCTAAATAAACAAGAAAAGTCCAGCTTTTTTGTCTCAAGCATAAGTTGCTGTAGTTAAAGCAATGCTATCTAATAGTTTACCTCCCAAATGTTGGAATGGATTTCTCAAACTTCAAAAAAAAGTTCTCATGGGAGGACAGAAAAGTGTATGTGTGTCAACGTAGCTAAAACCAGTTCAAATGTTTTCCTAGTTGTTTAAAAATAAAATTAAATGTGACACAGTTAAGGAAACAATCAGATATTTCCAGCACTGGAAAATTAACAATGACAGAAAATAGATACTATGGTCTGATGTCATTGCCAGGGACCTATCAGGAATGATGTCAGAATAGCCTGACAACATTAGCAGAATGAAGAAACATTATACATAAGAAGACACTCTAGGCTTATTGCCACAATGAGAAATGACAGGTGCACAGTGTATCCCTTTATTAAAAAAAATCACCATTTAAGGTCTTATCACTAACATAAATGTTTTTAAATGTATCATTTTTATATTGACAATGCTGGGAATTCTCTTGTACTAGAACAATTTGTTTCCTTATAAAAAGTCTTTGAATTAATGATTTTTCAGATTTTTTTTGAAAGAGTAAAAATTTTCAATCCTAAATTTTGTAACTCTGCAGTCATGTTAGAAAATTGATATTTTAATAGCCTGGTGTAAGCCTGTTTAAATAATGACATGCTTTTCTGATTATTAAATGATATTTTCATTGTATGGCAGAATCAGAGTTCAATATGGATTTTTCATTTTGCATACTCTTGCCACCACTGAGAAAGAAATGTCACGAAAATGTCCACATATTGGTCGTCAGGAGCTACCGGGAGTGTCTGACACTTAAAAAAACCCCAGATACAAGCAGATTTCATTTGCACTCTACATTTGACTTTACAGAACTACATTTCTGTTTAAGTCACAGGTGGTGGTTTTTTCTGGAGAGGGTGTGAATGATCTTGCCCACAAAGGCTGCTATGGGCCAGCACCAGCTAGTACCTGCAAATGACAGTGGCTTTTTTGCAGCTGAAGGAAAGTTGCAAAAGAAGAGTAGGGTGGAAAATGCCAGTTATTTATTTACCAGAATTTAAATCAGCAAAGCTGAGCACCGTCTGGAATCTGTTTGGTGAAGCGGCTAAAGTCTCGTCCTTCACTTTGTCTGGGGGATGGCAGGTCTGGAGCCACACTAAGTTTGCTGCTTATCTCGGTCCTCTGTCTCTGCTGAGACCGACAGCAAACAGGGGTGAATGTTTCTGGGAAGCCTCTGTTATCCTGCTCTCCTCTAGAAAAAGGCTTCACTGTAGAGGCAGCAAAACTAGTTCTAGCCAATGCAAAACCACCAGCTAAGGGCTTTCAGCCACTGCTGGCTGGCTGGGTTCACGAAAAGGTAAAAAATTATGCATCCCATGTGCAGATCCCAAATCCTGTGACTCACTGCTTCACAGAGCAGGAGGCAAAGCAATTACCATTGACGACTGAATGTAAAGAGACAAAAAAAAGAAAAGGTTCATCTGGGAAAGAAGCAGTGAGGGGAATTTCATTACCAGATCTTAACTTCCACATCACCATCTCAGAAAGCTGCCACGTCAGGTACGGCAGTGCACGAGGCCTGCCCGAGCAGAGAGGGCTTCCCGTCACCCAGCCCAGGTGAGCAGAAGACTGGCAGCGCGCTGGAATGCTTTTCCGCCGTCACCTTTAATACTCATTTCTCATTATAATGGAATCAGACTCATTAGCAACCTTGGCTGCCTTTTTCCCTCTCCGTGTCTGACTCCCATTCCTGCCAAGCTTTTTATACTCAAAGGAGACACAGCTGAAGCGAAAAGGGGCCAAATTTGAACCTAAACAAGCAGTTGCCGTGAAAGAGCTGACCTCCCATTTGTGTAGGCTGTGCCAAGTACCGAGCTCAGGTCTAGGCTCTCACCTGCGGTCTGCTCCAGGAATTGTCCCCTGCCAGTGAGAGGGACCACCTCGTTCTCCGTATTTTCTCTCTATGATCACATCGCACTTGTGCTTTGCTGGGACGTGTTATTTGTCCAATGTTTCTACCTTGTTTCACATGATAAACCCAGGAAGACAGGAGAAAAACTGTTTTGTTGCCATCCCACTTTCTACAGCCCTATAGGGGACCGAAACAGGTCTCGCTCCCGGCTAACCTTGCTCTCTGCATCTCCCACCCACCTCTTGCTGCAGAGCTCTCGCTGGCTTGGGCAGAGTGACCTGTCTCTCTGGTATTGCCTAAGCCTTTGGTTATATGAAGCCAGAGGAGCAACACCTGGTTTCTAATCCCTGCTGCATGGCGACGCAGGTGTGAGTAACACACGGACAGAACTGAGCTCTTGTAGGAAGATGATGTATTTATAAAATGTGGGGGAGAATCGGTATGTCCCCCAGCTCTAACAGAGAGGTGGCCCAGGAATCGTCTTGAAGGCACAGAGCCACTTTAAGGCAGATAATTCAAAGGTACAATTCAGATTTTTAACACAAGGCATCGATGTCTAAAAAACAATCAACTTCAGACATTTATAGGCAATGAGAAGAGTCGAGATGTTCATACCAGGCAAACATTAAAGACAATGACAAAACAAGTCACATTATCGTTTTCACACAATACATTTCTCTCAGAATAAAAGCCAGCCCTTCTTTGTTCCCTTCGCTGACCTGCAAAAAAAGCCTCAGGTCCACAATTCACAGTCGTGAAGACAGAGTCAGCGTTTGTGGGCAGAGCCACCTTGCTGTGTACCCTGCGCTTGGGGGCCCAGGGTCCCCAGCCTGGCCACATCCTGCCCCGGGGAAGGTCTCTTCCGCAGCACAGCCCATCATCTCCCCAGCTGTCCCCAGCCAGAGCTACCGGAGCAGCTCCCTCCTGCCCGCCTGCCTGATGCACGGGAAATCCCGTGTAACTGATTTCCTCCTGCCATCGAGGCAGGACACAGCCAGGATGTACATGAGGGCTAGAAACTCAGGGCAAACTTCACCACAAACTCAGGCGCAGCTTCCTAAAAAGATCCTGGTGACAGAAACGAGATCGACTGTCGGGGGGAGTCAGCTTCCCAGCCGCGGTGAAGCCAGGTTCCTTCTTGCTTTCCGGGAGTTGTGCCAGACCCAAAGACAAGCCCTCCTCGCAGCGGCAGTGCACGCTGTGCAACACTAGTGACGGGGCACACTGACTGCCAACCAGTTTGGTGGCCTGGCCACCATTCTGGATGGCCACATCTTTTCACTGCATGGCTGCGGGACTACCTGCTCCTGCTGTGCTCCCTGCTCTCCCCCACTTCATGACTCTGGGGAAAAAAACTGCGGGTTGTTTTGGAAAAGGGGCAGCAGCCTCAGAGCAAAGCCTGGAGCCGCTCCTGCAAGATTTGCTGCTGGCCGGCGAGCTGGGGAGCGTGTAGCCCCTTCTCTCCCTACAACCCGCGGCAGTCTCTGAGCATGTGGGCTGGAAGACAGCTTTTGTCCCCATGGGATCTCTCCAAGCTCCTCCATGGAGGCTGCCAACTAGTGCCAATTAGTATTAATCACGTTTACTACCGCAATGCTTAAATACCAACTAAGAATCCCCACTGTGCTAGAAAGGGAAGAACATTTGTGATGGCAACTTTGACAGTGGGGATACTGGCCATCAGGAAACTGGACTGAAACCCACTAACTCCTTACACCTCCACCAAGGAGTCCTCACGAGGTAAACAGTTCTGCTTGCCACAGGCCTGGGTTACAAGGCGTGAAGGACAGAGCACAAGTCACAGCCAAAGCATGGGGGCGAAATCCTCAAATTCTGCTGGCAGTGCTGGAGTGAGGGCTGCACCCTAATTCCTAGTCCACCCTTTGCTGACTGTCCTCTCTGGTGAGGAAGAGGGGTCACTCGTATCATTTAAGCCAAGTGAGTTGCCTTCTGGATGCACCCAATTCTTGCCAGTGTCTGCCGATGAACGCCAGCTGCTAACTTCAGGTGCTGCAGACCACATCTAAGCCAGATGTGAAAGCACACAGTACAAATAACCCTTCCTCCCTGTGCATGACACTGAATCCGTCAGCTCCCCGTCTGCGAAATGGGCATCAAGTCGTTCTCTGCTTGATGGGGCCAAACAGCTGGGTCCTGCTAACACCTTGCTGCGTCCCAGCGCTCACCCTCCCCGCCAGCCTCTCCCCATTCCACAGGGATTGCGTGACAGAGCCAGCCCGGACAGGCTGTGGAGGTGCAGTCCCGGAGCCTGGAGAGCAGCTCACCTGCACACTCGCAGGGTTGTGCCTGTGTTTGAGTGAAGCACAGGCTCCAACATGCACCGAGAGCACGACTGACACTGCACATTCCAGGCAGAAACAGGACTTATTGCAACATTGCATCACAGGGCTCTGGCCTCCTAAACTCCTGTAATACATTAAAAAAAAAAAATAGTGTTGACTGTTGCCAGCTTCTTCCCTCTCGCCCCAACGGCAGTGTTTAATTTCTTACTCTCTACACGGGGAAAATACTTTCCCTCAATAAAAAGACTGCTCTGGCTTGGGCAGAAGGCTAAGGCTGCCCCTTCTAAGATATTCAGTGTCTGCATTCTGACAACGGCTCTGTGGACTCAGAGACACAGCCATCTCTCGTGTACCTCTCACCATAGCTGCACACTGCACAACGAAACTTTCTGAAATCTGGTTGACTTTTTCTGACTCCATCAGTCACAAAACCCAGACTGAGGCAAGCAGATGATTTGACAAGATTTCTATCTCACTTGCCAGAACTTGCATGTTCAGTTTTCTACTGCAACAGTGGAACTTGGTGGACTTGTCAAGCACCACAGTATTAATAAATGAATGCCTATTCTTAATTGGCATCCACTCCATCAACGTAAAAAGCAAACAATTCTAGTACCATGTCAGCATTGCTTGCATCCTGCATACCTCCATTACTCAATTCTCAACAACTCCCCACAGAGCTGGGCGCCATGAGCAGCATCCTGTCACACTCTCCCCTGAAGCCTGAGACCAGTAGCGGCCTTTTCAGCATGGTATGGGGACACCGAAGCTCTAGTGCAGAGCACTGACTGTGCTGGGATTTCTGGGTTTCTATAGTCCTGTAAAATGGTTACAGGAGTAAAAAATCTTGCCTTGCATTAATGGAAGTTTTAGGGGCTGAGAATTCCCTCTAGCATCAGGACGGCTGTGGACAGGGGCTCTTTCCACAGTTCTTGCACCAATGCCAGCATGGGTCTGCCCATCCTTTTATTCACTCAACCCTCTTCTGTCCTCACTGTTCTTTGCACCCAGTGCAAGTGGGAAGGCCTGAGGCCACCTCCTCCATACCGGGCCAGAGCTCGCAGGGCTGTTCCAGAGGTGAAGCACCAACAGCTGTGCCAGTTCTTCAACCAAGAACTCTGCTCTTTACATAGAAGTCAAACTATGACAAGACATAACTGTGAGGCCATAACTTATTAAATTAACCTTTAGATGCTGCATAAATGTACAGAATTTAGAGAGCAGAATACTGTCTCCTCTTTTTCTGATAAAATTACAATATTTCAACTAATAAAATATTGCCACTTCTTCCCTGCTAGGGTTTCCCTGATATCGTTAGGACAAACACATGTCTGTCAGATAAGGCTGCAAAGTTCCTCCTGAGATGCCCTCCCAGCTTCTCTGCATAACCCCTCCACTATCCTCAGGCAGTGGATCAATAATTTAGGTGGAGTTGTAACATCACCCCCTGCCACCTCGCCCAGCTGTAGGCGAACGTGGCTCTCATAAGGGAAGTGTACTTGCATCTCCATCCATGGCCCATAATTTGCTGAATATGAGCACAGTGTTTCATAATGACTAAAATGAAAAGCAAAGAGAAACGTCTAAGCACCAGCAGCCTAAAGTGCCTATCAGCCTCTCCACATCCAGATTTCCTTGGGTCAGCACATGGGCATGTGGACATGATACAGTTCAGAGAACTTACTTTGGTCCCCTGTCCAAAAGCATGGATACTGGAGAGATGGGGAAGAAGGGGAAATGGGGAGGGTTGTTTTTTTTTCTTTTTTCCCTTCAAGTATTGAAAGAGAAGCTGCATTACTGTAATAAGCCATTCTGGACTTAGCTGGGATTTGTGTTTGTTTGGTTTGCACCACGCAAGACTCAACGGGAAATATGGCACCTCTCCCACTGTACCACCCGCCAGACTGCACGGCAGGAAATACGAGTCCTTCACTTGGCGACATCTCCCCCACACGCCTTCCCAGCAAGACACGGATCCTACGTCTTGGATGCAACGACTCACAAGAGGACCTCCCGCTCCTCTAGCCCGATCGTCCCTTCCTCAGCTGTGCCATTCCATCAGAAGGCTCTGGAGGCAGAGGAAGAGTTTGTGCGCTTGGCTGTGTGCCTTGATAAAGTGCATGTCGAGACGAGACGGTGGACGGTGCTGCCAGGCAGCTTTGGGGTTGAAGGCTACAGTGTCTTCAGCTGGCGCCGGTTCCACATGCCCCGCTTTGAGTGAAACCAGTGGAAAAAGTTTCTTAGGGAGAGACGCTCCACTTCCAGCCCGGCCTGCAAGATCCTGGCATAAAGGAGAAGGTTAAATTTAGGGAAAACTTGATCACAAAGACACTGGGGGGTCGGCCCCAGGGAATGTCTTTTAAGTCATCCTTTTGTCAAGAGACTGCAATCAAATTGAAGAGTCCTGAATAGCTCAGAGGTATCTCATATCCGTAAGCAGGCATCTAATAACACTTGCTGAGTATTCATGCACCCCTGAGAGCAGGACTGGTTGGGAGTGGGCTGCACACACCAGGCTAGGAGAAAAGACAGCTGGCAACATGGGATTGCTCAGGATGCTAGGCTTTTCTGCAGTTATCTGACATAAATGACAGGAGAGGCCCCAAAACCTAGAACTACAAACCCAGAGGCCTATAATTTGCACAGCAGAGATCCCTCGTCATAAACTTCTCAGAAATTGTAACTGTACCTTGTGATCTTTAAATGTCTCTCTGAGACTTGCTCTTCTGGACAATTGCTATGCATAGTATAGGAAGTCTGAGGGACCCAAACTGGACCCACTGTGCACTGCTCTGCTTCAAGAGGACAAAGTCTTCACAATCACCAGTGCCTGATCTGCCCATGGCCAACCAGCAGTGTGGCTGGAAGGCACCGGGAAACGGCTCCTCTCTTCTTTTATCAGTGGCTGTAGTAGCGTATTTTGGGTCCACTCGCCTACTAGGTTTGAGGTCAGGACATGCTCAAAGACCCTCCCTCACTGACCAAGCTTATGGTGGCATTAGTCACCTCAGTCTCCTCAGATCCCCACTCTCCTGGTCATGGTTCCCCCAGGATCTAATGGGTTTCATCTCCTGAGCGCATGAATGATGACAATGGATGTTTACCTGTCCAGGAGTTCCCAGTCCTCTCCTCCCCAGCGGTCCCGAAACTCTTTTGTGTTCATGCCTCCGATCTTCTCCAGGTCAGACTTGTATATGCCCAGAAGGCCAAACCCATTCACCTCCCAGTAGCCTGAGGACAGCACAAAAGAGGCACAGGTATGTTGGTGCTTTGAACCATTGATGACTCCAGCAGGGCTGTTGGAGTGAGACTCAAACTACTTTTAGCACAATGTTGAGACCAGAGAGTCAACTCAGCACCAAGGCAGAGCCAACTGTATTAAAGCTTTGGGAAGTCAGAAAGGCTTGCGGACAGACAACATGGGCTGTCCTATGAACTTGTTAGCAGAGCCTCTCACATCTCTTGTCTGGCAGCATAGCACCTAATGTACCTGGACTGTCCCAGCTTCACAGGGTTGTCCCTGTGCCTGGATGGCTCAGGATGACCACCTCTGTGTAAAGGAAATCCTGCACTCAGATGGTCTGTCCCACTTTCCTCCCCCTGACTTGGCTTGGTTTCCCTCACCCCTGGGCTACCAGCTCTCCTCAGGACAGGCTGCGCCCCCTAAGAGAGAAACGGACAGAAAGGAGTAAAGGAGGGGTTTTCCAAGGTCCTCAAATCCACAGAAAGCCCTAGGAGATGACCAGGAGAAACGTCATATAAAGGGCTCTGCTGGCTATTTGATCTCAAATTCCAGGTAGCTGACACTGTTAAACCCCATCCTATGTCTAAAGCACTCTCACCTAGTGGCCCTGGAAGTACCTTAAGCTCCAGACCTTGATAGCACCAGAGAAACAAATCTAGAGGTGGTAGGCACCCTCCTTCTTTCCCCATTCCGCGAGGTCTGAGCCAAAGAGGCTCCACTCCCTCTTACCATCAGGCCACTGTGGGGACATGCCGCAGTGCAGCCTCATGACCATGGGTGCGAAGGCCATCTTGCCTTCCACGCAGTGCTTCCGGATTGAATCAATGACTCCAGCTGGGAAGTGGATGTGGAGGTCGCACAGGAAAACGATGCTATGTGGGTCCTGGAACCAGTCACACCAGTTGGGAAAAAATAGGTTGACTTTAAGTAAGTCTTTCTTGAGGGGCATGAAGACAGAGATACGGGACTGAATTAAAGAGCCATTCGTTGCTAGATCAGAAATTGAGATCCTAAGGGCTGGCAAAACAGCCATTGACTGGCTGTTGAACAATGGGCATGAAATAGTATGACTATGACCTGGCAGAGCCAGTATCGCAAAGCTGCTACTGCTGATTTCCCTCCTGTCTGATAGTCCCAGCAGGTGGGCCAAGAACCAAATGGACCACAGGCTCCTTGGAGTAAGGGGTGAAACTCTTACTCTGGAGGGACAGGAAACACTTCTATGTTTGATCTGGTCTGCAAGGCTATTCTCTTCCTTAAAAACCAGCACGTTCAGTTCAGTAGCAAAGGCAAAGAGGTAGCACCGGATGCATACTATCCACCTTCCTGTCCACCCCAAGTCCCCTGAGCTTACCGTCACGAGGTCTATCCCCGCCTGCAGCCCAGCAGAACGCTCGAAATTCCCCTTCAGCTTCAAGTACCGATAGCTGGGGGTCAGACAGGAAAGAGAAGTTCAGTGTGTGCATGCTGGCGAGCACAGAAAGCATCGCTAGCAGCTGTACACCGTGGGTGTCATGCTGCAGAGCTGCCCCTTGCCCCTGTGCACCCTCCCAAGGAGAAAGCAAGCCCTTCCTGTGCGAGCATGCAAGCTCAGCGCTGCTCCAGGTCCCAGCATGCCCTGAGGGTCTTCCCACTTACGCAGCAAGGATATGGCAGTCCTTAGCAAAAGTCTTTTCAGCTCTAGTCCAGCTCTGTCCTAGGACTAGACCTGTTACTGGGAACACCTGGCATGTAAAGGAAAGGACCAGCCGAGGCTGGTTCAGGGCAGAATAGGGTAAGCCAGACAGGTGTTCCAGCAAGTGGAGTCCCCAGAGGTCTCCACGCTCTCTGTCCTATTTCTCACAGCTTTCTTGTCTTCTCTGTCCACCCCCTGCCCCATAACTGTGAGACTTGCTTTCTGTCCTCTCTTGCAAACTTGAACAAAAGCCCGGAGAAAAGAGATGCATCTGGATGGATGACTGCAATAGGTACTGCCTTACAGTTTTATAACACAATTATATGCAGTATACATGTATGTACATTATAACAACAATATATGCATGTATATGTGCAAGGTCTGGATGGATGTCATCTTTGGGTTTCCAGCTGCAGGAGGTTGTGGCTGGTCAATACACAGAGATTGGCAGATGTGCTCTGTTTGCAGGCATATGCATGTGAGCAGTTTTTTGTGACCAAGCAGTACTCTCACCTGTGCAAGGCAGACCTTTTCAGAGCCTTCTCTACGTCCATGTCATCGCTGCTGTAGTCCGTGATGATGATGTTGAAGTACGGATCCTTAGTGACACGGAACAGCTCTTCCATGTCGGAGATGAACTGCAGCACCCAACGTGCCTGGTTTTTCACTGGTTGTATTGCAAGAGGGAGAGAATCAAAGTACAACTGATTTCAAAGACGGCGTGGCTTCCTAACGGGGAAGGCTTCTTGCCTCCCCTCAAACCCCGCTAACATTGCAGGGATGCTGAAATAGGCCCAGTCTGAAAACCTGGACTAAAGAGCCCAGGAATCGGTGTGGATTCTTCCCCAGACGAGAGTTTTCTCTGAGCTTACAAGCCATGGGAGTTTGGGCCCTGTGATATTTCTGAGGGGGTTTAACTTGGTGAGAACAGAAATTGGAAGTGACCCAAATGAGATAGTTGAGGCTGGCCCAGACCCACTGTTCAGGGCTGTCCCCACGGGAAGTGCCTGTCGTGCCATCCCTTGATGTCCCGGGAAGGCAGGTCCCCCTTACCTGGCACCACGAAGTGAACCATGGCATGGTGGTTCCAGGAAAAGCCCTGGGGCCAGCACAGCTCCGGCTCGTTTGCCACAGCCATCAGGTGCCGCCGGCGACCCCATGCCAGGTTCCTCATCTTCCTCTCCTCCTCCTCATCGCTGCCAACGCCCTGCCAGCCCCGTGCAAAGACGTACTCAGAGAAGCGGACGAGCCGCTCTCCCTGCTCCAGCATCTCCAGCTCCAGCAGATAGCGGCTGCCTCGTATGCGGTCCTGGCGTTTCTCCACGTTCACGATACGCCGCAGCTGGAACCGCCTGCAGGAAATACAGCTGGGGTGGGCTTGTCCCCCATACACCAGCCCTTCTCCCACCTCCAGCCCATTCAGCTCTGCCAGGTTCTTTCCTCCTGGCTAGCACAAACCTTTTTGTCCCTAGCTTCCCCCCACTTTGCTGCACCGCTTCCAAAGTCCCATGGGAAGGTTTAGCACCTGTTTCCTAAATCCACAAGCATGTGGGATTAGATCTGGGATTCCAGCCAAGAGAAAATAGTTGGCAAGGGAAATGAAATAAAGGTGACACAGAAAATAACAAATGTGTCTGAATGATTGTAGGGCTGGTAATAGTGAGTGTATTCAACACCTCCTACAACAATCTTGGCACAAGGAGTATGTTTGGGCTAGTGAAATTGGCTGATGACAGCTTATCAGCCAATAACATGGAGCAGGACTGAGCAATCATACAGTAAAAACTGGGGTGAGCTGTACGTTCAGAATGGCCAAAACAGGATGAAGTGCCAGGTCATGCCCTTTCGGATAATAACAAGTTTCTGCTGTAAAATGGATGCTCATCAGTTAAAAATGCTGAGAAAAGCTTGCGTGTACTCATCAGTTACACTGTGACTGTGACTGATGTGGCCCTGAAAAAACAAAAGAGATCTTAAGATGCAGCATGAGAGCTACTTCCAGCAGGGACTGGGAACTGGTAACACCCATTCTATAAAACATCCAGGATACTGGTCATTTATGTACAGGAAAATTAACCCAAACTGAAACCAGCATGAAGAAGGACAGCTAGGAAAATTATGGAAATAGAGGCCAACTCAACAGAAGGGTCAGGAGTTGGCTTGTTTAGCTTATAGAGGCTCAGAGGAGGTACGCCTGTTTGCCAGAAAGGCAATAAAAATGGTAAGTCTTGAGAAGAAAAAGAACCATATCAAGACCATGTAAAAACAGAGTACCAGCAAAAGCTGATCTCCAGTGGGTCATCAAAGCAGCGAGGAGCTGAAACATCTTCCCAAATCAGAACTGGGATCTAGAAATCCAGCTAGTTTTAAGATGGAGGTGCACACATTCAGATAACAGTGTAGGGTACTTGGCTGTCTCTGAGGTCAGTGTACTGATCCGCATCATCTGATAGGTTCCTTCTGGTCCTAAGCGATTCACAAGCTCAGATGTGGCAGACATCAAACCACAAGCACAAGGAGCTCCAGTCCTACTTCATATCAGCAGGGTTTCTTAATCTTCAGCTGGTAAAATGCTCCTATGTGCTCTCAATACCTACACTGTGCAAGGAGGAAGCCAGCAAAAGGCCAGTGATGCCAGCTGGACGGAAACCTCCGATCTTTCACGTTTACTGCCACCAGCTGTTGGAGGGTGATATTCAGCCCCCAGACATGGTCTGGTGTCCAACAATTCCCATTTCTCAGACAAAAGAGGTATTTAAAGCCCAGGTTTTTGCACAGATTCCTTGCCTGAAGTCGTATTTCCCACATCTAGTTTATCTTCTGATTCCCACTAGCTCCTCACATGACAGGTAGTCCATGTGCAGCATGGTACACCACCCCTTGGTTTTTACACTGTGCCTTACCCTTTACTTCTCTGGTTGAGCTTCTTGAGGAAGACACGTGTGACTTCCAGGGCCTCCCTTTCTCTTAGCAGCAAGTTTCCTGACGTGTTGCATTTCAGGTCAATCCAGTCTGTGCGCAGCATATGGAAGTCCAGGTTGCTCATGCTGAAGGTCTGCTCCCAGTTCACCGCCTGGTCGAACACTGGTACATAATCGAAATCCTCCTCATCTTCCTCCTCTGGCTCCCCATCCACCTCTTCCTCTTCCTCTTCTGCTGCCGCAGGTCTAGACTTGCCCTTCACAGGAGATGCCACCTGCGCCTCTCCCTCGCCCACGTCCCCACCATCGGCCGCCTTCTGCTCAGCAATGTAGGGCTCCGCTTGGTTCAGCCACTGCGGCAGCCCAGGCTGCTGGCTGGGGCTGGCAGCGCTCACAGTGCGTCTGCTGGCTTTGCCAGAGACCGGGCCTCCTTTCCCAGCTGGCACAGTGCCTGATGGCTGCAGCCCCTCCTTAGCAGCGCTGAGGTCTCCTCGAGGTCTCACCCCTTTGGGAATCATGACCCCTGAGTCCCTGGGGCCACGGAGAGGCTGGTCCCTTTGAGACACGGTCCTAGGAGGAGGGTTCGCCTTTTTGACAGGCGCTTTCCCCTGTATAGCCCTGGCGTGCTGCGGAGGGCTCCTGGAGTTGTCTTTGAGGCCAGCTTTTAAACGGGGTCTCTTCATTACTGGGTTCCTCTCTAGGCCAGCCCGGCTGAGGTTTTGGTTGGCAGAAGCCAGTGTTGCTGATTTGACACCAGACCTCTTTGTCCCTCTCCTCTGTAGCCCCTCTCCTATGTTGCCACGCATCACCGAGAGGAGCCGACGACGCTCGCGGAGGGAATAGTCCTCGTGAATGTTATCGCTGCCCACCACGCTGCTGGGAGCGTTGCCTGCCAGCTCTGCCCTCCCTGTGCCGGGGCGCTCGGGGGGACTGGTACTCTCCACGTCCTGCTCTGCATACTGCAGGTCGTCCAGGTTCCCCTCCTGGGAGCCTGCAGGAGTAATCACAGTTACACCTCTGGCATCCTCCCGCTGCCTTTCCCGTCCTGACTCAGGCACCCGCCCCGCAGGGGGAAGCTACTTCTCGCCTCATCTCAGCATTTTCTCTCCTGCTCAGAGGGACAGGGATGCTCTCGGACACAGAAGCTGTGCTCTTGCTGGTACCAACCTCCTCAGTACCTATTATTACCTGTATTAATACAGGTATATTGGCAATATACCTCAGTATTGCCAAAGGCTGTGGAGGGGTCTGGCTTTGCCTTTAGCTGTCGATCTGGCCACAGTTTTGCAGGGCAGGTGCGAGCATAGGCTGCCGCACTGCACACCTTTGGCTCTGTCACTTCTGCCCACATTTTTGCTAGAATTGCACCTCAGCTAAGCTGTGGGCCTGAGAGTTAATTGTCACATTGTCCGCTACAGACCACTGTTTGGTGACCTCCCAACCTGCCCTTACGAGAAGTGAAAGTGGCAGCAAATATCTCCTCCTGGCCACAGCAATCTGGCAGGGAAGGGCTGTGACTTCCTTGGCATGGAAAGTCAACAGCTTCTTTCAGCTGGTGCTGGAAGATCACACACAAAAGTGACAGACAAAAGGATCCTCCAGGCTCTGATGTTAGGGTCCCTACCTGGCTGTTCTGTCTTTTCTCCAGAGTCCAGGCTCTTCTCTGGCCGGTCCATTTTCATGTACTTGTAGAATCCAAATCTGCAGAGGAAAGGGCAAAACACAAGGTTTGATGAAAGTTACTTTGCCCTCTGCAAATAAACTGTAGCCACTGCTTCAGAGGTGATGGTCCATTACTCTGATTACATCTACCCAGCATCTCTTGATCCTCCTTTCCTATCATCATCACCATCTTTCGTATCTTTGGGCAATCAGATCTTACTCTGCACTGTCAAAGATGTCAGTTTTCCTTGCTTATCATCCCAGTCTCTCAAACATTTTCTGATAAGCGCAGGAGGAAATCCCAACATAAGTACCCCGAAACACTTCTTCAGCCTCCCTTAAACTGCTCCTTAAAGTTCAGTTATGATGTAGTGCTCACAAATGCAAGTCATCATGCTGCAAAAGCGGCTCAGGCAGATAATTGCAATGATCTCCCTCTCTTCTCTCGTACCACCACTGTCTGTGTGCTGTCCTTATATGACTGTGCTTCAAGCTTTCAGGAGGGATTTCCAGGACTGTTTCCCTCCATGTGTGCTTGATGCGAAGCAAAACGGGCCCCCAGTTCCCAAATCCTGTCACAATACATATGAATTGTCAAAGCAATAAACCTGGGTGGCACCTTCCAGCCCATGGCAGCCACCTTCTCCATCCTTCAGTATGAACTCCAGTCCCAGGAGTTCCCTCCCAAACCTAGGGAGGGCTGGAACAAAAGGTTCCAAAACCTTTCAAAATAGTCCTGTAGGGAGGAAGAAGATCCTGAGCACAGGGAGGCCACCATCAGTTATCTCACTGGAAAAGTGACTCTCCTTATCCTGCAAAAAAGTCCTCCTGAATGGAGGGGAATCCTCGCACAAGGTGTCTGCCTGTGGCATGGGGGAGCATGCGAGTGGCAGTTCCCTCGCGGGGCCACCTCTGAGAGCTGGATCCCAGTGAAGATGAACGACATGCATTAATTCCCCCAGAGAGACGCGTGGTGGTGAGCATGGTTTGGCTTTCACAGCGACAGCCATCAGGAGGCTCCAGCTGCTGGCAGGCAAAGTTTGCTGGAAATCCATTCCCTGATGTAGTGGAACAAACATGCTCTGACCCAGCTTCCAGGTTAATAGAGCAAGAAAAGCAGCGGCAGTTTCCCTTTGAGATCTAAACATATTTTCACTTAAAGGAAGCATAGGTTATCGAAAGAAACTATAAATGCTTTAATGTTTTGCAAGGCTTAGGGGATCTTTAAGGATTAACAAAGTCCTACAGAAGTGAATATGAACTCCACCCCAATTCCAGCCTTCAAACCACCTCCTCCCTCCCTGCTAGTAAATCCGCATCTGCAGCATCCTACCTTTCCAAGTAATAAGGGTTTTCCTGATAGAAGCATTTGTTGTCTTTCTCCATGTGGCTCAGGCGGCTGTAATCATTCGGGTAAACGAAGGATAAATGAACCTGGGAAGAAGGGAGGAAAATAAAGTAAAACCCTCATAAATGCCAGATATCAGTCACAAGGTGACCCAGACACAGTTGCAGGGTGACCAGTCCTTTTGAGAGGGAGCAGGGGTTGCTCATTAACTATTTGCCTCTCCAAGGCACCTGGTAGCAGGTTGTGAGAATGGAAAACAGAAGGAAGCGGGCTGGGATGCGTGCAGGGGTGTGCCTTTTTATCTCTCTCTCAGCATCTGTCTGTCCATCTCTGTAACTGTTTGTTTAACTCCTATAACAGAGAAAGAACTAGCTGGGAGAGAGGTGGGCAAGTCCTCCTGAAGAGATGCAGGGGATCACAGGAGCTCAGAAAGCGTGTGGGGAGACCTCCAGGCAAGGCTTAGGGAGCCAGGGCCACCCAGGATGCAAGTCCCCCAGGGAGTGTAGGCTTGCACTGGCATCCAGGGAGGGCAAACCATGCTGGTGACCTGTCCCCAGCAGACCTCAGAGTCTGCTCTGATATGCAGGGGATTAATCCCTGCTATGTTGCATGCCCCACAGATGTGAGCTCCCCCTCAAGACCAGTTTTAAGCTTGTCAGGGGCTTTAGTATCTTCACAGACTACAGTCCCCCCCATGGAGAATAAAATCCTCGGCCATTGTGAGGGTCTGTGTGGAGGCAAGCTCAGCTGTTTGCTTTGAGGTCCAAGGGGCTCTGTGAGACGCACACGCTTGTACCCCAGAGAGACCTGTGAGCAGTGCGTAGCAACCCTCTCCCTTCTCTTGGTGTTGCCCTCTAGCATGCACTGGGATGCTCAGACCTGAACAGCGGATGGTCAAATCTGTCCAGGAGCTTCAGATCGGTGGAGGCCTATGGTTAATGGGGTCTCCCTCCTTCCTCCTTGTGTTCCCCCAGGCAAGTACTTGCTCAAGGAATAAAACTTACAAACTGGAGTCCCTGGTAGCGCTGCAGAGGAAATCCATTCACCAGGTAGCTGGGCTTGTACGGGCAGTCTGGCAAGGCTCTGTGCAGGTGGGTCTTGCTGAGCAGAGGCACTGAGAAGAAGAAACACATAGGCAAGCGTTGCTGGAGGAGCCCTGCTGTAACTGATGCACCAGCTTAGCTACTTCTGTGCCTGGTTTCTATTTATCCATGTGAAATAGTAACAGATACGTAAAGCAAACTACCTTGCACAGCTCATCTCTTTACATTGCTCTATGGCACTTACGCTAAAATATTATGCCCAAGGATGTTGTGTGAGCTGGATGCCAAGAAAGAGGAGCTGCATTTAGTCTGTGCTTTGTCTCCTACAGTGACTGATATTGTATGCTGCCCCCTCCTGCACTGGGGAGAAAAAAAGCGTGGCCTTTGATAACCATGGCGTAGGAGGGCAATCCTTCTCGGCTGTGCTACTGCACGTGCTGTGACAGGCTGCAGCTACCTCCTCAAATGCTTTGCAAGTCTTACCTTTGTAAAGAGTGTCCCGGGGGTCAGGCTTCAACATGTCAGCTGGGTGTGCCGCGCTGCCTGCGCTGTCAGCAGGCCGGCTCGTGTGACTGGCCAATGTCTGCGGGATATGCCCAACCTCATCCATCTTTAAAAGTGTCTCGTCTAGAAACCAGAGAGAGAAAGGAAGGGGGAGGAAGGGCTAATTCATCCCTTGTCCCAAAAAATGCCCTTCCCCAGTGTCAGCCCTTTCCAAATGGCATTGCATCCATGGCACTAATGCTGCCTCTGGCATAGCAATGCCTAAATGGTGCTGATCAGAAGTTTCACTGCAAAGACACTGTGGGAAGGAAAGGCTTTGACTCAGAAAGCTGGAAATACAGAAGCTGTGGGGTAGGAACATGGCTATCACTGAAAGCAAACAAACACAGTGATGAGTAATGGAGGAAAATGACCTCCTGCCTTGGACACGCCAGCAGTAGTGTGCTGAAGAAGCCCCACGCTGGCAGGAATTACTGGACACATCTGAATTATTAGCATTAAATTTATTTTAAAAGGAGATAGAAAAGACGAAAAGGAGGAGAAACTTGAGGAGTGGAGCTTTCTCCTGTGCTGGAAAATGAGCAGGACCCTGGGGTGAGGCCTTCAGTGGCTGAGGAGGATGATGCTCCAGCAGGGGAATGGAGACCCACAGTAAGCCAGGACCCATGGGAAGCCTAAATTCAACACTGGGTATTGGTTATGTTTTTTCTTGGGTGCTCCTGCCAGAGGACATCATGTCTCCATGGATCTTACTCTGAGATGAGGGGAACTGAATAAATATCCAGGAAGGAAAGGCAACATGCTGCCAAGGGCACTGGGGTTACTCTTAGCAACTTTTGGGTACTGAACAACATGGGAACCCAGAAGGAATTGGATGACATGTGATACAGCCAAAGGCTGATATAGAAGAGGGAAACACTGTATGGGCAGAAGGTGCCAGATAAAGATGAGGCTGCAGCACTGTGCCCAACCATGAAGGGATCTTCTGGGATATGAGTCTTCCCGTCTACAGGGAATTAATAAGAAGAAAAGAGCAGAAGGAAAAAGGATGGGGACAGAAGACCTAACGGAAAGCCTAGTCCTGGCCAAATGGCAGGTTTCAGAAAATACAGCAGCAGGTTGCGATCCAAGATGCAGCAAACAGATGTCTCGGTTACATCAGGGAGTCTTCCATGGGCAAAAGTGTTGGCATGGAAAAAAGCCCAGAGATGTTGGAAGGCAACAGTGGTAGATATGGAAAGGGGGAATGCTGGCAGAGGAAAGCAATGCTGACAAAGCTAGATAAAGGTAAACAGGACTAAGGAGCTCCTTAACTGATAAAGGCATCACTTGATGTGCTAAGAAGGATATACAAAACAGGAGGGACTGGGCTGATGTGCTTGCTGCCATCCAGCAGCAACTTGAAGAGGCTTGAGGGTGATATAGAAGAAAGCAGCATCCCCCAATATCGCTAGTGTATCCCATTGTGTCCAGCACTCAGAGTGAAATCTCCTGGAAGTGCTACAGCGGCCCCTTCTCCCTGGTCATGTCCAGCTGCCAGCGCACCCCCACAGCTCCCATGTTATGGGCCTCATGTTCCCCCTAGCTCTCTGCAGGCAACCTCCATCCCGTGTTACTCTCACATCTGGAACAGTTCTCACCCTTGCAGGCTCTCTTCTCTGCCCTTCCTCACCGCCTCTAGATTTCCCTGAAATAATGTTCCAATCCTACTTCCAATTCTCCTGTATTTAATAATGAGCCACACTGTTGTCCAGAGGTCTGTCTCCTGACCTGTCTCCACTTCTTTCTTGTAATGATCTCTACGCATGGCATTTGCCTGGCTAGACTATGATTCATGGTGAAACACCGCTGATAGGTTTTGGAAGAATGGGGAGGTGCTCAGGGAAACCTGTGGTGAAGATACTTACTAGCAAAAAGGGAGAGGTATGGGGAGTCAATGACTTTGAACTTCGCTTCTGGGTCATTCAGTCTCCACTGGAACAGAGAAACACATTAAAATGAAGTGCTTATGGAGTTAACCAAGCCTGAACAAAAGGAACAGGCACAAGATGCTTTTTCAACAGATGGGCTCGCAGCTTCCTCTTTCTCCTTACTATGACCGAGTTTACCTAGCAGCAGAAGACTGGGAATGAGCTGAGATCCCCCAGGACACAGCCAAAGCAGGAAAGGACAAAGAGCTGCAACAGAGACCGGAGAGGGCAGAACTATCCCAAGCAAGCAGAGGAAAGGGTCCTGACACGTGGCCAGGGCTATCCCACACAGAAGTAGGTAAGGGCTCTGGAAGGGATTAGATACTTCTCATGCAAAGAGGAGCTGGGGCCTGGGAAAGGAGGGAAATCGTTACAAACATCATTCCCGAATTCTGCGGGGGTGCATATACAGCATGGCCATTTGCACAGACTCACTGCTACTTCCACGTGGTCTGTTCCTCTGTCATCCTGCTTGTGCAGCACCTCAAAATAGTACCTGCCTGCAGCTGACAACCTGTGAAGAACAAGTGCCTGTCACCAAGAGCATTGAGGAACATTTCTTAGCTTGTCAGCAGACAATGAGTGGAAAGCAACCGCACCCATGAAACAACCTAATTCTCAGGGTGAGCAGGGTTAGGACTGCCAAGAAAATCCAGATGCTGACAGCGAGATAGGTAGCTTCCCTTGTGCACCTGGAGCGCTCCAGACCCTTCTCAGTTAATTCTGAATAACTCCCTTTTAGTCTTGCCTGCTGGGTTTTGGCCTCTGGGAAACCCGGCCAGTTCCAAGGCAGGAAGCTCGGAATACAGTTCATATAGAGGAGTCTGGATCTGCTGGTGGCTGCTTCCTCTAGGGAAGAAAAATTCAGTGTTGCATTCATGCAATAAAGCAGCAAAGCAACTGGCACAGGTGTGGATGTGTCACTTCAGCTTTGGCGATACCCCAGAGTAATCCCTTTCTCTATATTGCTGAATTCTTCAGAACAAGTCTGGGTTCCTTTTCCTTGTCCTTATGATTTCCTGGCCATGTGCAGAGGTGGCTGGGAGCGAGGGGCTCTGCTCACTCACCTCACTGTCTTTGACTGCTGGCTGTGAAATTTCCCAAACTCCCCTGGCGCGGTCCACTCCTTCCCTGTCTGTGAAGAGACAGAAAATGCTCTAGTTAAGATGAGTTTCTTCCCTGGTTACTGCACTGGGAGTGATGAAGAGGGAAAAATTGAGCTACTCCTCCTAGTAAGTTGTCTGTGAGATCCACAACCTGTGGACAGATTTAAGTCCCTTAATCACGAACATGGGGCTCCTAACAGCACTGCCAATAAGTAACTGGTTTAAGGTGTGTCGAGTCATACCCATCTGGCATCTGTGGTGGTGTTGTCTGTAGTTGGGCAGGAAAAGAACCTTGGGTAGTCCAAGGAAGTATGTAAGACAGGAAGGTCTCCATCCCTACAGAAACATTAAGGCCTTGATGGTAGAAGCCACGCAGCATGCACTGTACCTTGCCTACACTGGCCAGCAGCTGGAGCCCAGAGGTCTTTTCATCTGGACTCAGCCAGAACTCAGCATTGTCGTCTGCAGCAATGGCAAACTGAAACTCCCCTGTTGAGAGATGGAGGGAGTAAGTAGGGCTCTGGGGTAAGGGCTTGTGCACAGAACGGATTCTGCTCCTTTAAAATGCTGTCTTCACCCTTTTTCCTGGTGTGTCCATACCTTCCCTTTTGATATTACCACCCCCACCCCTTTGAACCTCTCTGAATTCTCTAACTCTGCTGTGATTGAAAACAAAACTTTACAGATGCAACTAGTTCACTACCTCTCCTGCATTGGCTTCGCCTGACATCTAACCTGGAAAGCTAAGAAGTCCATGCAAAGTCTCCCTGCCTCCCCTTTTGTTTCCAGAGCAAATTTTAGTGCGAGAAGCTGTGTTTGGATGGAGGAACGTGCACGTGGAGCCGTGAAGGGAGACAGAAGTGTTTGAGTTTCACTGTTCTGGTCAGGGTTACGGGGATGGTGGTTGAGGGCCAGGGGACCAGGAGACGTGGGTGAGTGCTAGCAGGCTGCTCTGGGCAGAAGCATGCAGCTGGGTGATGCAGATGTCAGCTGCTGTCAGATGATATTCATGCACCCGGGGAGCAGCAGGAACATAAGTGATGTCATGTACAGTCCTGTGCATGAGAGGCAGGGAGGAAAAGCTCAGGGATTGTTCGTGCCCACATGCACGCCATGGGGCTGTGCATTCTTGATAGCATTGTTTTTTATCTAGCACTTCCCATCTGTTTTCTTCTGTGCTTTTCCTTTCCACCCTACAGGGGAGGCAGATGTGTTTCACCCATGCCAAGGCCACGGCCAGTCACGCACAGCTAGCTGGGCCGCCCACATGAGGGATCTGGCCTTCGGCTTGCCGGGGTAAGGGCACCAGTGGTTCAGCACCAGGAGGGGAGGGAGGGGCAGGTGAGAAGAGATGTGAGCAGTGGCACAGCAGCCTCAGAGCCCTCACCATCGGTGAAAGGATGCAGGTAGCCAAATATCCGGAGACCATAGTTGGTCCATTTTGGGGACACAGCCAGCTTCTTCAGTGTAGTTCGCGTCTGAAGTGGAAGAAGAAAAAAATAATAAAAATAACTAGATGTGACAGGAACAAGGGGGAACGCAAAAAGCCTGGGACAGGTGGGCAGAGGGAAGTATGAGGATTGCTCTGGGAGGAGGATGGGTCACAGCGTATGATGGAGGCAGCGGGAAAAGAGCAGGCCAGATGAGAGACAAACTGGAGCAAGTGCTGCTATGGAGGGGAGAGCTGCATGGGGGATGCTAGTGAGATGGTGGGGATGGGACGTGGCGTTCACCAGCCACTTGGAGGGAGAGCACCAAATAGAGGGCTCCTTCACCCCATGTCCGAGGCCTGGCAGGCCAGCATAGGTAAAATGAGCCTCCCCCGTGGAGCAGAACCGTTGAACCCTTGTGAAAGCTTCCCGCTCCCTCAGCAGGAGGACAAAGGAGATGATGGAGAGGGAGGTGATGGATGCTCAGGAGCAGGAGGACAGAGGAGGTGATGGAGAAGGATAGGGACAGGATGTGAAGGAAGCAGGAGCAATCCAGCTGGGAAGCAGAGCTGGGAAGCGTGGGACAGAGGGTGTCGCAGTCTTACTCACGTGGGGGAAGAGAGGGAAGTGGAGGTTTTTCCTGAGCTGCTCAGTGGAGCTGCCACACCAGTCCTCGAACACGTGCAGATTGGCCTGGCCCTGGAACTGGGGGGCAGAAGTGGGGCACCATGAATTGCTGCGTCCATCCCCTGCATCCCTCCCCTGTTCTGCCAACCTTGGCCATGGCCCCCGGCACTGGAGCACTTGTGAGAGTAAAGGAAGATGCCGCTGCTGCGACAGGCTGGTCTGCAAGAGACATGGGTCCAGACCCCTGTTTCTCATCTGCTGAGGGCTTGGGGTTGGCACAGGTGACAGTCTGAATGGCACCAGGGAACTGCAATAATGCCCAGGACATCTCAGTTAAGTGGCTGGAGTTCACTCCATTTTGCTTCATCAAGGAGGCGTTTTAACCAGAGGGCTGTGCTCTGAGGACATGGTGTGGGACATGCTGTAGGGTGGCAATAGCACTCCATGATCCAGTAAAGAGAATGTAGGATCTTATGTCCTCCAAGAAGGTGTTCTGGACTGTCTCACCATTTCAGGGCTATTTTCCTGACCCAAGGAAGAGGGGACACCCTAGGGAGGGGAGATGGCAGATCCCCTTCTCAAAGCATGTCTGAGAGATAAAGCTCACGGAGGACAGTGGGGAGAGGGAGATGGAGGCTCAGCAGGGTGGGGAGCAGCAGCATAGGCGGGTCAGTGGGCAGCATGGCCTCCGTGTGCCTGCAGAGACACAGAAACGCTGGGAGGAACGGGGGTCCCCTCCCAGACAGCGTAGGAAGGTGTGCAGTGTGGGTACGGGTGGCTATACCGCTACCTAGCCAGCCCCGCAGGGAGAGGCTGTCGGTACCCAACGGAGACCTGGAGCACAGCTTTGCTGGGAAAAGCTTGCTGGCTGCTGTGGGATTTCAGCGATACGCTCCTCAAGGGACAAACTTTCTTTTTGCCAGAGCCATTCAGAAGGGAGGAGCTGGCTGCCCCCCCAGCAAAGTCCGAGCTCTCTGCCTGCAACCAGTGGAGCTGGACGCTGAAACCCTGCTCGCAGGACCGGCATCCAATAGCGGAGAATAAATAATCTGGAGACTGTAGAAGCTACCTTAGATGGGGAAATGCTGAAGAAAGGAATAGGTTGCCTTGGGACCGGGGAGGTTTTGCCGCGGCTGTCTTGCCTATATAAGGGCTGTGCAAGCAGGGCTGGAGAAACCGCCTGAACAGCACCCAAATGTCTACAGATGGCAGCAAATTCTTAGTTTTTGCTGGCGAGTCTCTAGCAAGGCTGAAGCAGCACGGTGGAGGAGGGTCCAACCCCTCTGTGCACTCCTGGCAGAGAAACTGCTTCAGAGAGTTATTTTTCCCAGGATAGCGGGCTGGGAATTCGTTTTGTAATAAACCGTAGCCTGAAGGAAGGACGCAGAGCAGACTTGGCCTGGCACCAGCTTATGCAGTAATGCTCCTTGCGAGCTGTGGGCTTTAGTCATGCACGTGAAAACCATCTCTGTGTGCCAGGCAAAACACATTCACAACCACTGCTGTTCTTGAGTGGTCTCTCGTCAGCCCTCTCTCACTGGCGTCTGCACTGCCAGGGCTTGACTGATGTCTGCAAGCCTGTGTCGTCCCCCGCTACTATCTCCTCTTCTTCCCTTCACTGCTGACATCCCTCAGCCTGGATTCTGCCCATCGGGCAAAAGAAAAAGCAGCAAGACAAAGTGGATGTAATTAGCCAGAGTGATGCTGCACAAAATCAGAGAGGAACTACACACAGGGTTCAAGGCGATGGATGCAGCCAACAGAAACCTGGGACTCTGCAGGGACTTGTGATACAAATAAATCACTGCAAGTGTGACAAACACTAAATTGGAACGAAACTGCTGGGCGGTCTCATGCCCCTTGGCCAAATGCAGTTCACACCCAAGGGTCTTACACTACTTTCCTCAGCCAAATCAAATAATGACAATTGCTGTTTCTTGTGGAACATGAAGTGAGGTGAACAGGCTAGGCTCCCACAGCGAGTCACTATCAGAAACTGCGTCTTCTGGCAGCCAGGCTGCTGCTATCCACGAGTGATGCTGGGTTTTCTTCTTAGAGAATTGTTTGCACGCTGCAGATAGCAGGCTCAGATCTCTATCTAATGTAGCACAACACTCCCACACTGTGGAGAGGCTGGCGCTGCAGTCCCCTCCTGGCAAAGACAGACCCAGGGGGATGCTCCCGAGGCTGGGGACTGCAATGGAGCTGGGCTGGCTTTGGCATGGGGTAGCCCAAACACCAAACCAGATCTTTATGAGGGAATTCCCAAGAGAGTGGCTAGACTTGCTCAAATGTTTGCAGAGGAAACTTGGACCGGTCCCATTCTAATACAATCCTTTACTGCAGAGTTTGGCGGTATTAGGGAGAGGGCAGCCTACTAAAAAATACGGCAGACACCACTGTTACTAGGTGCTCCATCAATGCTGTAAGAGATGGTCCCTGAGATTTCTAGCCCGACAACCCTGTCTCCAAAGTCTTTACAAAGCCACCTGAGAGGAGATTCTGGCAGGAGCTGATGAGATCGCTTCGCTTTCCTGCACTCACAGCTAAGAGAAATAATTAACTGGTAAATAATAAGCATTTCTTCCATGTGGTTTCAGAGCCTTTTCTAAAGCAACAGATTTTCTCCTGAGCTACAGCAGCCTAACTTAGTCTCTGCTTCCTCTGAAAGGAAAAAGAAGAACATTATTGACAGATAAGTGCTGGCTGCCCAAAGCGCTGCTCTGGGAGTGAAAACTGAACTAGGCTTTTATTTTAGGCTCCCACGAGTCATCAGCGCAGCAGCTGTTTTGAAACCCTATCACCTCTGTCCCTTCAACTGAACTCATGGCTGCCCATTGCAGGCAGCTGAGAAATTCCTCCGTTTGCTATTTGGGTCCCCTCAGGAACATGCAGTAAAAATCTCCTGCTTGGGGCTTTTGCAGATTGCAGCAATACATAAATGGCACCATCATTCCCAATTCATGCACACAGCTCCTGAGAAACGTCGATGGACTTTCTAAAACATGGCTACTGAGTTTGACTTCCCAGCTTGTAACTGCCTAGCCCTGGTTTTCAAAGGGCTGGAAATTCAGGACCTGGTAAGCAACAAGTTAAGTTCCCCTTCTCCCCTTAAAAACATCTGCTTTGAAAATTTTGGATAGACTGATTTGGCCAGAACCAGGAATAGAAGCCAAGAGTCTGGGCCTTAAATGGGAGCTGGTATTAAGCAGTCCCTGCCTTCCCATTTACAGGGCTCCTGCTGCCCCTCAGCTTCCTCCCCATCCCAACCCCACCTCCCAGTTGCCTATCTCCACCCCGCTGAAATAATAGCATTGCACGAACCCAGCTCAGATCCAAAACGGGCAAAAGTCGTGCACCAAGGGCACCGTCAGCAGGGCGTGAGTACACCCAGGAGCACGCGCGCAAGAGCTGTTCTTCCCAAGGGGGTCTGGGCAGGCTGATACCCTCCTGAGCACAACGCCATGGACACAAAGAGACAGCGCTGCCCAAGGGAAGGGAGACCTGAACCATAACAAGTGCAGGGAGGTGAGAGCTGGGACAGGGCCTTGCTTCGGTGCTGACGCAGCAGCCCCCGCGGCTTTGGGAGTGCAGCTGGGCTCCAAGCCCCAGCGCCGACCCTTCCCGCTGAGCGTGCTGAATTAACACCCGCCTGCAGCCCTGGGTTTGTATAAAGAGACTTTGGTATTTCCGCTTCCTTCCAGTGAGGAATTTTAGATTATCAGCCCCTCCTAGGAAAACAGACCGTAAAGGAGGATTGGGCACACAGAGAGCACAGACCTCTCTTCCTCGCCGAAACCCTATCATGTCAAAACTGCCCAGGGGGGTGGCACCACACACCCAGCGGCTCCTCCTGAGCAAGGAGCCCCAGGGAAGAAAGGCGAAGCAGCAGCAGAGGCCGGTGCAAGCAGCAAAGCTGGGAGGATTGCAGCAGCGGAGACACGACCTGCCGCACTGTAACTGGAGCAGGATGGAGAAGAGAGGCCTTTCCTAATTTAATCCTGTGTGGCTTTGGCATCACGGAGGCAAATCAGCTGCGTAGCTGTGTGCAGCCCAGGGAACGCGCAGCGCCAGGGATGATAAACAGGGCACAGAGAGGGCCTGAGCCAGGGAAGAAAGGCGACATTGTGCTGCCAACTGGAAACTCCTGAGTTCATAAGACTCTTCTGTCTCCACAGAGCGGCTGCAGCCCCTCCTCCTGCCTGGCCCAGCTCCCCTGACTGGGTGACATTCAGCAGCCAGCAGCTGGTCTTCGCTGCAAGCTCTGACGTGTCGGGCACTTGCGGGAATCCATCAAGACAAGTTAGCAACAAAGCCCCCCTGTCCCGCTGAGCCCTGACACCTGACGGGTGCGAGCGGGCAAGGAAGGGACGTGGGCAGGGACAGAGCGAGCAGGAATAGCTTTGTCTTTTAGACCTCTAAGGAAAGGATGCTTCCTCTTAGGGCAGGTTGGGGGCAAGGGGATGCCCTGCCACAATGCTCTGGTTTCATGCAGCACCTCTGCACCTATACAGGCGCTGCCTGCAAGGGGCTGTGCTCCCAGACATACCTCACACCTCCTTCCAGCAAGAGGAAGTCCTGAGGCTGTGAGACACAAGGGGGGCACATTTTAAATGCCTCCCAGCGCTGCCCAGACCTTTCTCCTCTAGGAGCTGAACAGAGGCTTTTGCAGAGGTAAATGAGAAGGATCAGGCTAACCAGGCGCATTTCTGAAAATCCTCCCCCCACACCTATGGCAGTGCCAAATGGTGACACTCATGGTCCCACAGCACAGGTTTGCCCTGGTGATAGCCAGGCACCTTTCTGAATTAATGAAACAAAACGTCCCACATCTCTCCAGCCTGAGGAGACAGTGGGTGACACTGGGAGCTGGCAGACTTTGTCCTGGTGCCTGGAAGGGACAGTGGTGGTAGGAATCATGTGCACGGGCACCTCGAGGAAGTCAGGAGTGAGGCTGAGCCCTGCCTTCCCCCATACGCGGGGTATAACTTCGTTAAGGATTTCCTATGCATACACTTTCCCACCACGTTATCAAAGGCTGAAGACTTAAGCCGTTGATTTCAACCCCTGAAACTGAAAAGAGGAAAATTGAAACCTGTCCTTTTTTGGCCATGCTGGCTGCCAGCTCACCCTGCAACTCCATTAATTATTCATTTTTGTCAGGAATATACCTCTCTATTCAAACTAACCCTAGCTCCCCGACCTGTGGGAGGCAACCTGCCACCCCTCGCCCCAGGAATCAGACTGCAATTAAGTTCTTAGAGAGGCTGCCAGGAGGGCACAATGGGATCATACACCCTGGGTAATTAATTTGCGCAGAGTTACAGAAAAACTTAATCCTCAGGCCAGGAAAAATTTCAGCCGGTGGTTAAGAGGACAGCAAGCAGCTCTGTACAGAGCTGTGCCCATAGATCCCTCTCCATCTCCTGCAGCTGGTATTGGTGAACCGCTGGCCTTTGTTTGCAGTCAGGGTGGTTCTGCTGACCCTCTGGGTACAGACACAGTGCTGCAGCGAGGGCAGGAAATTTTTCTTTATAGAGACAAAGGGAAAATTGGTGAAGGAGGCAGGTGCTTCACAGGACCAGCGTTAGAGGACTGACGGGGGAGAAAGGCAGGGTGTGTGAGTGGGGCAAGGCCACCCAAACCAACTCCCCAGACTGGTAGCCGTATGCCCTGGGTCTCAAAGTCTTCTCACGGCGTATCTGCCGTGCACCACCTGACACAGAGCATGGCTGGGGCACCCACAAATTCCCAATCCAGTTGGTCTGAGGCAACAGCCCTGCTGCCTGGCAGAGCTCTCCTCCCCAACAGGGAGCAGTGCAGGACAAGGCAGGAGGCACGCAGCACCTTTCCAGGCACGGGGCCATCCCGCACAGTGCACCCCAAGTCCTGCCCCTTCCCCTTGGGCAGCACACCTTTCCGCTTGCTCCCCCTTTGGCAGCGCTGCACCGGGGCGGCAGGTTTGCAGGCTGGCGGGTGTCCTGCCCAGCGCTGACGCACGCAAGGGTGTGAAGTTGCCCCACCAGCAAAGCAGAGGGCTTTGCAGATCAGCCCTGTGCTAAACACATACCTTCACCCAAGCCACAGCACATACCCCTCCAGTTGCATTTTTAACCCAGTAAAGGCTCATTGCACACCACAGCCGGCAGGTTTCAAGACTATCACGCTTTTGAGAAACCACCAGGGAGGGGATCACAGACATCGGGCAAAGCCTCAGAGAAGCTGGGGGATGCCACGCAGAGCCTGTATTGCCCAGTGCCGTGGGAGAGGGGAGCAGTAAATGCTCCGTGTTGTCCCTGTGCATAAGCAGCAGTCCTGGCCCTGACGTCCCGCTGGCTCTTCGCCAGCAGCTGCTCATCTGGGAGGCAGCCCTGCTCACACGCTGCCTGCAAGGCCCTGCAGCCGGAGGAAGCCCCCAGGCTCCAGCTGGGACCGGCACTCGCCAGAGCCAATGCGGCAGAACAGATCAATGGTCTGGTCTGGTTCTGGGCACTGGAGGGTGACTGGTGCTGGCTGCTTCCAGGAAAGCTTTAGCTCATGCTGCAAGGACCTAAACTGCTCAGTGCAATGGCTGGAGGGAGGCACTTTCCCTCCGCTGGCCGGTGATCATCTTGTGCCCTGAGTGCAGGGACAGCAGCCTGCTCCCTCCCCAGGGGAGCTGCAGAGGCCCTTCTAATTTGTGCAGGTCTCTAATCACCTTGAGGAATTTAGTGAGCTGACTTCATGAGCTAAATGCCCCCTGGCTTGTGTCCCTATCATTATCAGCAGGCTGCATTGCTCCCTTATCTGAAGAGGAACGGTGAGATAAGGGAACAGGGGAGAAAAGAATAAACTAGGCATGAAGGAAACAAAGGGAATGTTTACCCCAATCTTCAAGGGTCACCAGAGAAGGTCTCTGTTCATCAGAAGTGTCACTGAAGTGGAGAAATCTTTACGTATGACACACAGGGGTTGGATAGCAAGCAAATGCCAGAACAAGAGCAGAGTGTGACACTTCTGCGTGCCACAGTCGTGTATTTGCTTGTTGAATGCTTGGCCCTATGCACTCCCAGCCCTGAATAAGCTTCACCTTTCGGGAAGGTAGCGGGGCTGCCTGCTCTCAGGGAATTGTGGGTGGGTGCTTGGTGCCTTGATGGCTGGTGGAGACGCCAAATTATCAGGAATCTGGACAATCCTGTCTTTCCAGATGATTACTCAGGTCTGTAAGTGTCATTAAGCCAGGAGGGGGTGATAGGAAATGGACTTCTAGTGAAGCAAATGAATTTCCAGGCAGAGGTCCCTGCCTTCCGTTCTCGCTGCACAGGTTTCTAGCTACAGCTCCCTCACACAAAACAATGGAGAAAGGCACCCACCTCTGGCATCCACGGGACAGGGTTGTCCACACCTGCATAATTCGATTTATTCCTCCCACCTCTTTGCAGCTCTTGGTTCTGAAATACAAGTAGAGGAAAGTCAAAATAACCTGATAAATGACCCAGTACTGACACCTACACAAGAGGGCTCAAACCTGGTCACAAGAACATGTGAGAAAAAAGCAGGTTCCCAAGCTCCTTTCCAAAGGACAGGCTAGCTATCATGGCCATAGTGGGGTGAAAATGCTCCCTGGCTTTTTTGACAGCAAATTTCCATGGTGAGCTACTGAGGGAAAAGGATACCAGCACTTTATAACTGTTTGCTAGCACGGAGTTAAAACTTAGGTCATTCTCCCTCCCCCCCTATCCTTGTTTCAAAAAAGTCCAAGCAATAGTTCTTCCAATATTGCCTTCAGGTAACAGTACCGAGATGTGCTTCACTAGAGAGCTACAAACTTTCTCCTGACCTTTCACTTCTGCTTCCATCTTGCTTAGTGCTACCTTCCTGTGCCACATACCCAGCCAGCTTCAGCCCACCGCTGCGGCTTAGTACATCTGAAATAACTTCATTGACTACAGTGGAGTCATTGTACGTTCACATTGCTGTGAGTCAGCTCAGATTTTGCCCTGTGGCATGCTCTCTTTCCTGTTTGAAGAGAGAGCTGTCTCTTGGGGCCAGCATCAGAAAGGAAGGTCTGCCCTTCTAAACATTCAGAAGACATCCCAAGCCTCCTCACCTGGTGTCCCAGCTTCTGTGGATAGTAAAACTGAAGGCTTGGGTCCCCACCTGGGACATTCGTGTCTGCCAGAGCCTTAGCCAGCTCCCTCCAGCTTTCGTATCCTGCGCAGAGGAAACAGAAAGAGCTGTCAGAGTACAGGCCAAAAAAAGAAGCCACGGCAGTTACCAGAACAAACTGGTCCTTTACAAGGCTGAGAGACCTCCAACACTCTGGAATGGTCCAGCAGAGACCAGGCGTTGTTTACGTTACTTGGAGCTGGCAGACTGACACAGAGAGAGAAATTGCCTTCGCCTTCCTTAAAAGCTCTTCCCTCCTTACTAATTTGTTATATTAAAGATTCATCATAGTTCTAAAATACATGTCAGAGATTTCATTAATCACCACAGGACTGGGAACCTCTTTGTAGATCCCTCAGGTAACCCCATTGGTCAAACTAAAGAACATCAATGTTTTTTTAACTAGCAATCCCAAAGAAAAAGAAAACAGACAATAACCAGATTACTAATTAGTTTAACCATCAAAAGAATATTGCTCTGAATATGCACCTATTTGCACAACAAAAGTTCTCAATCTTCTTTTCTTGAAGGAAATGATGGCAAAGAATGCACCTGATGGGACATTCAGCTGTAATGCCTAAAATATTGGCAGTGATGCAGTTAAGGACGTCGCTACTTAAGTGAAGTCAGCCTCCAGGTTCAAAGCAACTTCTTTTGACACGCCCTCCCCTCCCACTCTGCTCCATCCAGGAGCCAGGATCAATTTTGGTTTCCTTCTACAACTCCGTTGGCCTCCTGGGCTTAGGAGGGACAAAGACGAGCAGATGCAGCATAACCTCGTAGCTCTCCATAACCGCTGACTGTATCACTAATGAGACAGTGCTGGTGAGCAGAGCTCACACCTCCCAGCAGTGTTACGGCGACTCACACTATGCGGTTTTCAGATCTGCTAAACATTTTGGCATTGAGTCAGTAACTAACCAACCTGCCAGCAGCTCAGCGCTGTGCCCACACTGCACGATAGCTTAATTGTGAAGAGCGTTAAGTGCCAAAACCTCCGCGAGCACTTGCTTCTCCCAGGCTGGTGGCAGACCAGCTCAATATCCACGTACCAGGCAGCAGAGCCAGGCTCTCTGCCCTTTTTCTTTAAAAACGGAAATCATCCCCAAAGCTCTAGGAGGTGCAGAGAAGTTGGCTGCCTTGGTATATAAAGGGAACCATCCCGCCAGCTTCAAGCCTGAGCATTGAGACGAACGGTCTGAGCCCTCTGCACTGCTCCTGCAGCCAGAAGTGGCAGGGACATGCTCTGAAGGGGCAGCACAGGGGAAACCTCTACTGTTTTGGAGCCAGCATACCCATCTTCACCCTGCCCACCCAACCCAGCAGCATGGGAGACTCACTGTGGCTTAAGTAGGAGCATGCTCCATCAGTTTGCTTTGGAGGGGGCATTTACAAGCCACATGACTTACATCAGCTCCAAAACATCTCTGAGATATGTAGAGGCCAAGGCAAACCCAAAACAACCCCAGGAGCTAGAATTCACAAACGACCCTTTGACAGATCCCCCTCCCTGGCTGTGCTAAGCTCTTGGCCTGTTATTGCACCTACAAACAGGGTTGCAAAACTCTGTCTCTACTTGCTCCTGAATCTGGGCACTGCGGGGTCTGGTAGAGGTGAGCAGAAAGCAAAGATGTTGAAGCTGCCTCCTATGATGTGGTGAAAAAAGGGGACAATTAATGAAAAGTAAGTGCAAGAAATGTGGAAAATGTGAAAGTAGTCAGAGGTGCAACTGAGAGACAAGTCTCAGAGGCAACTAGAGTGTTCTGCTTTCCTGACATGAGTGTTGGCTTAGATGTGGGGGTTTCATTCATGCCCTGTTAGATGCTGAACAGCCACAAATTTCTGATCTAGGTCTTCCCACCCTCAGATTCTGATCTGAAGCTACGGGTTTAAGTCTATGACTAAAAATATCAACATCAATATTTATCTCTGCAGAAGACTTCAGTCAGACACTCCCGGTGAGTAATCTACTGATTAATGCAGCTAAGCACATCTCGTGCTTCAGGGACTGACTGTCATGGGAAAGGATTAGTTCCTGCGTCTTCACATAAAATAACATACGACGGGTGAGCTTCCACCGTGTTCAGAGCAACGAGGCAGGAACCACTGTTTCCGAGTGTCCTGCAGCTGGACACATGGCCCCACTTGCAATGGGGCTGGAACAGACTTTGTAGTTTGCATGAAATCCAGCACTCACTACTTCAAGGGCTCATTGTACTCGTGGGAGAGGGGAGCACGCTTTTTTCCAGAGGAGAGAGCCAGAAAAAATGGAACTGGCTAAATAAGAGAGGAACCAAGTAAAACAGGAATAAAATAAAAAAAAAAAAAGGAGGGGAATAAAAGTTGGTTCACTCCTGGAGATTCACCGAGGGAGACACCAACAGAAGCAGGTTTTTTTCTTTTGTGTGGAAGAGAGATTATTTGGTTTCCTTGTTAAACTCAGGACTTCACTGCTCTGAGAAATAAGCTCAGGATGAAGCATCAGGAACCAGGCTCTCCTGGGAAGAGGATGCTGGCCACCACAGCCGGCTGCCCTGGCCGCGGCGGCTCCCGGGCTCGTCTGCGCTTCGGTTCCTGCGCACAGCTGGCATGGAGCCCACCTCGCAGCAAACACAGAAGCCTGGCTGCACACAAGTGCCAACAGCTGACATTTCTCTGACCCTTGGAAAAGAGAAGAAAGGGGGGCAATTCTCTGTGTTGTACAAATATTTACCTAACATTTACATCAGCCAAACACAGAAGAGACAAAACAGCTAGGAATTAATCTGGAGGTAGTGATTTCCTTGCTGGGTAATTTGTACTTTGGCAGGCTAATTCCCCAACGTGGTAGGAAATTATTTTCAGAAAATAATAAGATAAACACTCCCCTCAGAGGAAGCTCTTGGCGCTCTAGTTCCTCTCCAAAAGATTGGCTTTTCCCTGGGGATCTCCATGGGGCACCCTTAGAGGAGAACCTGGCTTTGCCCGTGCGTTCCTCGCTAGGAGGAGGGAAGGAGCTATAGAAAAGAGACAGAGCTCCTCCAGCTTCCTGTAGCCAGAAGACCTGCCGAGGCCAACTGCTGATTGAGGACACAGTGAAGGTTTTCTCCCCAGCACATGCCACAGGATTCAAGACATCCCCTTGCAGGTATCCTCTCCTGCGTGACAGCCAGAGAGCAGAGCCCTGTGGCTATGTCCACTGCTCAGTCTCAAGAGCACCAGAGCAAGGTGGTCCACCACAGATTCGGACCATCCTTGAGGTCTCCATCAGCTCTGCACAGCAGCCCAGCTGCTGGAGTACTTTCTTGACGGCTATTTAAAGTCAACAAAAATACACCTAGAAAAAAGCAGTAGGCAGGAACTAAAATACCTCAGCAAACACTTCAGTATTACCAAGATGGAATGCCAGCTTTGATGGTTTTGCTCCAGCCCCTCTACAAAACTGGTTCTGGTTAGGATGGGAAAAGGCAAAAAACTGTAAAGGGAAGAGCTTGGGAAGAGCCTGTCCCACAGCGAAGATGTTGGGCCAGGCTTTGTTGCCATTAGCCTGTCAGACAGATGTACCAGCCAACTCCTGGCCTTTCTCTCTTCTGGGCATTTACCTCCCATCACTTCCTGAAGCACAATGGTTGTTTTCCAAGGCTATTTTTTCACCCCAAACACCTCCAAAGAAAGCAATCCTCGTGCAGGCACAGCTTGCCAGAAGAGGCAGCCAGCCTTGCTGCCACATACTCCCCCTCCTCGGCATCAGGACCAGCCTCACCATGGCCACAAGGGACAGTTCAGGGTAGTGATTCACCCAAAATCCAGCCAGAGGAAAGAAAGGCATATGGCTTTCTGCTGGGCCAGCTTACCCAACCGAGCCGGCTGATGGCCACACAAGCACCACAGCAGACCCCAGTAGCCAGGGTAGAGTAGCATCCGTGCTTCCAGTGACCTGCGGTTACACCACACATGGTGTGATGTCAAACCTGCCCCTTCGCCATCCCTGCCTGCAATGGCATGCCTGGCACCAGAGCATTGTGGACGGGGAGATTTGTACAATTTTGTGCCGAGAAGGACCTGAGGAGCAAGGAGATGTTCTCAAAGGCACTGTGGAGGGGCAGAAGAACAGCCAGATTCATGGCAATGACAGGGGTTTTGTGCAGAGCCCACCCAAACTGCAGTTTTTATCCTCACTCCGACATTCAGGGCATTGTCCCTACGTCTACAACCAGACACTTGGCCAATCTCCTTTCTACAAGCAGAGATCCACCTTTCATTCTACTTCTGCATACCGGTGGTCCAAGGTTCAAGCCCCACAGGGACCAGCCACCACCCAGGAAAGTGAGGGTGGTTCTTCTTTGGAGAAAAGGGGTCCTTTTTCTCCCTGTTCCCATCAGACAGGCTGGCAGCTGCCTGCTGAGGACCCAAATGCCCACCAGGGCTGAGCCTCAGCTGCCCCTCTAGATTTGAGATAGGAAGCCCTCAGGACTTGAGCTTGTTTCTGGAAAAAGAGGCAGGTGGACACAAAGAAAAGGAAAAGAGGATGAAGAGGAGGCTGAGACAGATGCTGCATCCTCCAGCAGAAACCCCCACAAGCAGCAGCCAGTCTGGAGCCAGCGGACCAACCGTTAAGGGACAGAAAAGCTGTAACAAGAGGAAATAAGATGAAGATGTTTCTTGCCTTGGGTCCAGTCAGGGCCCAGGGCCATGTCTGCCTCTTCTCAGCTACGCTTTTTACTGCTCTCAGGTTAAAAGTCAGCAAAGGAAGCTGCAGGAACAGCAAGTGGAGATGGGGGATCTTATCCAGCAGTTATGACTCTGCCAGAGCAATGCACTTGAAGCCCGGCTCAAGAGAAAAAAAATAAAAATGAAAAAGGCAGAAAGTCACATCCAGAGATAACAGACAGCAGTACCCAGGGAGCTATCAGGCCTCAGGGCCAGAGCGTGACCAGAGCTGCTCTGTCTGTTCGGAGATTAGATCCATCAAGCCACTGTCATGCCCCTGGCCCCAGCCGGCACTTGACATTTCAATTAGCCTGTGAAGGTACCTGGCAATTGTGCAAGGGGGAAATCCCAGACTCACTCAGGTGATCAGCTTCCCCTCTGAAGGATGAGATTTGATTACTCCGCTGTTGTTACTGCGGCTTACATAGCTGCAAATGCTATTAACACCCACATGCTATCCAGCCCTTTTGTAACGCTGCTAAATGATTTCACTCAGCAGCCTCACGAAACAGCAGGTCCACAGGTTGGTTTGCACAAAAAGCATTTTCCTTCTGATCCGAGACCGTCCTCCTCCTCTTTTGTTGCAGGGACAGGGCAAGAAAAAACTGGCGGGTATGAAGCAGGACTTTGTTCTTCATTACCCACAGTGCCCACAGACCCCTCAGCATGGCATGATGTTTTAACCCTCTCTTGGACAGTCTTATTTCTCCTCTTATCCTGGTTGAATTTTTTCAACTTGCTGTTGTCCTGCTTTCGTCTGGGATAGAGTTAATTTTCTTCCTAATAGCTGGTACAGTGCTATGTTTTGGATTTAGGATGAGAATAATGACGATGACACACTGATATTTTAGTTGTTGCTGAGCAGTGCTTACACTAGTCAAGGACTTTTCAGCTTCTCATGCCCTGCCAGCGAGAAGCTGGGAGGGGGCACAGCCAGGACAGCTGACCCAAACTGGCCAAAGGGATATTCCATACCATGTGACGTCATGCTCTGTATATAAACTGGGGGGAGTTGGCCGGGGGGCGGTGACCGCTGCTCGGGAACTGGCTGGGCATAGGTCAGCGGGTGGTGAGCAAATGCACCATGCATCACTTGCTTTGTATATTCTTTTATCATTATTATTACTATTTTCCCTTGAACTGTCTTTATCTCAACCCATGAATTTTACTTTTTTTTTTTGCCAATTCTTTCCCCCACCCCACTGGCGGGGGGAGTGAGCAAACGACTGTGCCGTGTTTAGCTGCCTGCCGGGTTAAATCACAACACCGCTATCCCACGAGACTTCAGTGTGATTTGAGGCCTTTTCCAGTATTATTCCTGGCTGAACAGGTATGCAGGTGCAGTACCCGATACCCCCAAATATTACCATTAGGTGCCTTGCAAGCATGTTAGTCCAAAAGATGCCGGGGAAGGTTGCTTGAAACTGAGCGTGACATTAGGAGCTCAACTCAGGGAGCTCTTTGCGCTCTCTCACACACATATGCATCATGCCCTGAACATGAACCTCAAGTCTACCTCCCGGCCCGGTTACTCTCATTTAGATTATACCCCACTCACATAGGCAGTGCACTAGGAGTGCCTTCACCCCGCCACATGACCCTGGGTGTCA